AAGTTTACAGATTGAGTCCACCATATGAAACTTGGTTTGCAAAACTTAAATCTGAATTTGTACAGCAGTCATCATATCTTGCCCTTTTGTATGAACTAACCTGACCCTGTTTTTTGAAACCTAAACATGGTTTTGTCGAGATAAAGTGATTTGAACAAATTTGGCTCTGTTTATCTCAATGTTATATGTGCACTATTTTCGCTCTTAATCAGATTGTGGATGGAGTTGTGCAGAGTATTAAACTGATCACAGAGGAGGCCAGCAGACGCATTGCTGAGTATGCATTTGAGTACGCCAGGAATAACCAAAGAACCAGTGTCACGGCCGTTCACAAAGCCAACATCATGTGAGAGTCACAAATCACATAGTAACACTATAGCTATGAAGAATTTTTACTGGTAACAAATGTCTTGTTGGATCTAATGACAAAATAATTGTAAGATATAACGATGCTAAATTCAGTGATGTCTTCTAGGCGAATGTCTGACGGTCTGTTCCTGAGGAAGTGCAGAGAGGTTGCTGAGAATTACAAGGACGTGAAATTCACCGAGATGTATCTGGATACAGTCTGTCTCAATGTATGTTTGCAAGACAACTTAGTTCATTAGGCCTGTTGTACACATCCAGCATCTGTGAAACATAAGAAATGTGCTTTTGCCATTTTTATTCATTTTTTATATTTCTACATAGCTGTATAATTTTTATTTCAGTTTTAGTCCTTCAACTTTGACTTATTTCATTTCTAATTTTAAAATAATTACTAAATTGCTTAGTTTTTTAATTTAAAGTTTCTTATGTTTTATTTCAATATTTAAGTTTTATTTCAGCTGTTTTAATTACAGAAGCATTTTTTTTGCTTTTTAGAAGCAAATTAGAAGACATATGCCGTGCTGCACATTCAGAGTTTGGTCTTTTTACTAGTTTGGCCTTTTTTACTTATACTGTGAAATATGGAAAATACAGAAATCTTTTGCATTGCTTTCAGTTGTTAAAAATTATATTTTGGGCTTGATGGAAGTCTATTCACACACAGTAAATACACTTTGGGTTTGGCTTCCCTGTAGTTTAATCAACAATTGAAAGTAAATGTAGTCCCCCTCCTCATGTAAATTAAATTTCATGATGATCAAGTTTATAATAATTCTCAAACAGAGTTATTAGAAGAAATACTCAATGTACTGACCCAGAAATCACTTTTTAATTTTAATACAATCTTTCATACATTACTTTGTGATTATCCACTAGATGGTGCAAGATCCATCTCATTTTGATGTACTGGTAATGCCTAATCTTTATGGCGACATCTTGAGG